GATCCATTTTGCAATCTTTTATTACGGGGTGAGAGTTAAGGATCTCATGTCATTCGTCTGTGTGTGGATATGTAGTCAGGCATCACGATTTGCTGGAGTGACTTTTTGCTAAATTGTGGTTTGACACCTTTTTCTAAGTGATTACATGTTCATGGCTGTGTAGTTTATTTCTAGGTCCTCTACTGTAACTCACCAGTCTACATGTCTATTTTTGTGACAGTACAATGTTGTTTTCATTACTATGCTCTGTAGTATGGTTGGAAATCATGTGTTGTGGCATCTCCAACATTGCTCTTTCAGACTTCATCATCCTTTCTGCTCCCATATATATTTTTCCCTTTTTCCTAGTTCTGTGAAGAATGTCATGAAGATTTTTGTTGTTGTTGTTTGGTGTTTCAAGATAGGGTTTCTCTGTACAGCCCTAGCTGTCCTGGAACTCACTCTGTAGACCAGGCTGGCCTCAAACTCAGAGATCTGCCTGCCTCTGCCTGCAGAGTGCTGGAATTTAAGGAGCAGGCCACTCCTACATGACATCATAAGAATTTTGATGGCGATTGTGTTTCTGTAGATTTTTTCCCAATAATGTTGCAGTTTTTACAGTATTAATTCTGCCAACCTGTGTGCATGGGAGATATTTCCATCCTTAGTAATTTCTTTAATATCTGAAGGGGCACTATCCCACTTGAGCATGTGGCTCTGGAAGGCCTTGCCCTTCTCCACATTCTCTCTGCCTTATTATAAAAACAAATCAAAACATTAGATTCCATCCCTAAAGCTAGCCACCAAGGCCTATTCCCTTATATGGCTACTTCCTCCTCATGAGGCTGACTACCAAGGTCCAGCTATCAAAGTATGAAAATCCAGCAATCAGAAGCCCTTTTTGGTTCAGCTATTTAATATGGCCAATCAAAATTAAATACCTTATACTAACATGGGGTTTACCCTTTACCATCATAAGGCACCGTTTTCCTATGTGCCTCATCTGTCTCCTCTCTATCCAGAAGCAGTCCTTTGTTCCCCTGGAACAAATATCCCTGCTACCTTGCCTCATCCCTCCCCTTTACCCTTGTCCCCTGTCTCCTTTACTACCACATCCTAGCCTATTTTTAACACAGACCTCCCCATTTTCTCTTCTTAAAAATTACACTTGCACTGCCGGGCGGTGGTGGCGCATGCCTTTAATCCTAGCACTCGGGAGGCAGAGGCAGGTGGATCTCTGTGAGTTTGAGGCCAGGCTGGACCGACAGCCTCCAAATCAATACAGAGAAACCCTGTCTCGTAAAATCCAAAAAAAATTACACTTGCAGGATCATTTGCTGCTGTTTTTCTGCCTGAGTCAGAAATCAGCCACTTTAACTTTTCTCCGCCACTTAATAAAGGAATTTCTCTGTGAAAATGGGTGTTTGGGTGCAGTTTGTGCCTAATTCAGGATCCTAGAAGAAGCCCCTCTGTGTACGTGTGTGCATTCATGTACAGGGTTTGGGGGATCCTCTTCAATATCTTCACTGCCTTAAAGGTTTTGTTGGCAAGGTCTTTCACCTCTCGTTCAAGGATTCAGTTTAACTTGGTTGTGTTTATTCTATTTTTCTGTTTGTTTGTTAGTGGCTGTAGCAGTTGGTTCTGTTGGCTCATATCTTACGTGTTTGTTGTTATGACACAGAAGGCTGACTGAGATTTCTATGTTGGTTTTGTGTCCTGGTTGGAATCATTTCAGTTTCTTAAGCATTTGATGGCTTCTTTTCACTAACAATGGGAAAAGCTTCTATCAAATTATATACCAAGGAAAGTATTTTCTCATAAAATGATCTTAATAAACATTTTATATTAAGCTGTGATCCCCTTATTCGGGCCAGCAGAAGCTAAAACAATGAATGAAATACACCCACTGCTCTGAGTCAGCAATGGCAGGCTTACTCATGGACAGACAGACTGACAGGCACGCACACACACACACACACACACACACACACACACACACACACACACCGGAGATGATAACTAAGTATCAGCACAATTCTTAACTGAATAGCCCTTCATTGCTACATAAGAATGCTAATGCAGTTAAATGTTAGGATATCTACAAATAAAATTCATGATGGTTATTCAGCCAAAAGAAACATTGTTTGAGCATCTATTTAGATGTTTCTGTGGCTTGTATATGGTTTAAATACCTCCCAAAGATTTATTCATTGGAATTTTGGTCCTTGGTGTGATGACACTAATAGGTAATGGTACATTTAAGAGATAAAACTGACTATGAATCCTGCAATCTACAATAATGACCTGCCAGGCAAAATGTGCCTTCAGATACATAAGTGGCATGATTGTTATCAGGGTAACCAAATATTTTCTCCTTGGATTTGAGGCCCACTCTACTTAAGGAACTCATGCCAGGTACTGTTTACCTGGTCAAGAACTGTGGCAGACAAGGTCATAGGCCTTAGGGGAAAACTTTTCATTATTGGTTTTCTGAATGGTCATGTTGCCCAGTTGTCTTCTAAATACTCATGTTTGTATCCACTGATTAATATTTATCTCAGCCTCAGCCAGGTAAGTTTCTATTTTCAGAGACAACAGTTAACACATAAATTCATTACTGGTCATCAAGGATGAGTAATAATGGAATTTGTGGCCCTAAATGGGAGAGCTACATCATCTCTTCCAAGGCTCATGGAACCAGGTAGAAAGAATATAAGCACCTGAGGATGCTAAAAATAAAGTCTTTGGACATGATATGGCCTTGGTACTCATGAATTCCCTACATCTATGTATTCATGCACAAAACCTGAACAAGGCTGGGCTCATCAACATTTCGTCCCCACATCTCTCTGAAGAACTAATGGCAGTAAGTGGTGTATCATTTTCTTCAGTGTTTTAGCCACTGATAGGCTGGCAAAGCTCCAGGAAATAATACATGTCCATGTAAGCAACTCTGATAAAACTCTCTGTGTCACACACAACAAGAAGATGTGAAACTAGAGGAAAACTTAGGGAGGGAGCAGAATGAGGGGTAATAGAGGTGTGTGTGTGTGTGTGTGTGTGTGTGTGTGTGTGTGTGTGTGTGTGTACTGTTAATAAAGGGGTGAGAGGTAAGTAGAGCCTCATGGAGGGCTTTAAAGTCATTGGGAGTGTATCCCCAGAGAGTATTAAGGTAGTTGTGGGACCTGAGAATATCCTCTCAAGAGTGAGTGAGTTGCTACACTAAAGGGTGAGTTCTCCTTTTCCTCTTAGCCTGGCTTCTGGTCCTGTCTTTGAGTCTTTACCTCGGTGGTGTAACAATTTCCTCTGAATTGAAACATTTCCATAGGGAGGAAGGAGGGAAGTTCATAAGACTTAGGAAGTAAAAAAAGTAAAAGTAAAAAAACAAACCAAACCAACAACAACAACAAAAACACAACAACAAAACCTTCAGGAAGATCCTGAAACTTAAACAAGACTTCCAGAGGTCCTACTCAAGGTTGTGCTTGCTACAGTACTCACTGGAAAGAACAAACTTTTCTGTGTGCTGATGGCAAGTTTTTCAGAGAGCCTTAGGTAGGCAGCTTTCATGAATCATGAAGGCCACCCCATGCTGGGATGGTCTTTTCAAAGAGGCAGCTGCTTCTAAGTAATCCATATTCCTGTAATTAATTCCTGCCCAACTCCTGTAAGGGACCCTAATAAATTCACTGGTTCACTAAGCTTGAATTGGTTGGAATTTCTTTCTGTGGTCTTTCATTGGTGCCCTATCTGGGATGAATTCTACACAGTGTCCTCTTATACACATAGCCTACTGGCTGCTCTACTTTTGGGTACATACCCACTATAAATAAACAAGGGCAGCAAGCTAGTTGTTATGTAGAAATTTAGATCTCTCACTAATTTAGTCAAGAGACTAAAATAATCACACTGCATAAAGTACCACACCCAGAGTAAAGCTAAGCCTGGACCCTCTCCCAAACTGAGCCCTCAGCTTTCCATTAACACAGGTCAGATAGTTAGACAGAACTTTCTGGAGCTCCTAGGATGAGTTCACAGGTAACAGATCGTGTCATGGTGATATGTAGGTGTAAAATGTACTTAGGATGGCTTCTAGGGCCAACACATCTAGGACACTGAAGTAAACAGAAGACACAGGGCTGTGTTTAGTGCCAAGAAGACCCAGAGTGTTAGTTCAATTGGACCATGGGAGCTTAAGTGGAACTCTGGCCATATCCCAAATTGGCACTAAACGATGTGCCTTTATGTCTCCATACTGACCAATCATTGATTAAGAGCTTTGTAGGAATAGGGGATAACCTTTCAGAAGGATACTGTTCAGCTAAGAGTGATCCTCTGTTGGGGCCCAGACCCCATGGGGTCTCTGAGAGTCACTGATCAGTCAACAAGTCCATCCTGTTTTCCAGTCCAAGTGCATTCAGTCTTCTAGTCCAGGCCTCCTGCCCTGGCCTTAACCCTCTGACAACAACATCCAGCAGGAGGAAAACACACTCTCTTCCACCTGGGGTTTTTCCACTGTGCTGTAAACCTATATTTAATACTGCTCCCTCCTACAAGAGAGCTCTTAGCACTTGTAACAAAGACACACACACACACACACACTATACACACACACACACACGGCAATAAAGGCAGCACATGCATTCTCTTAGTATAAACAGCTGGGCATCTTGTCTTTCTTTTCCTGATACCTTGGACTTGCTTGTGGCTTGGGTGCCGCAATCCTCATCTGAGCCCTGTACAATTATTAGCAGTCCTCTCACTTTGGAGATTAGGGCTACACTCCTGCATTCCTGCAACAGATGATGGGATGGGGTGTCCTATGCTGCATGTGGATCACTGAACGGGGTGTTCAGAGCCAACACTGTCAAACATAATCACTGGCTGTGACTGGACATCACAGCAAATACAAAAGGAAGAGATTCACCTAGGGCTAAGCCACAACACAGGACTGTTTCCTCTGTTCTTCAGACTGAAACCTTTTGTACTGGCTCCACCCCTCTAGTTTTTATGGTCAGGGTTTGCAGAACTGCAGCAGGAGTAGTGGTGCAGGCAGCTTCCTTGAGGACAGTGGGAGAACTCGTCGGTCCTGCAGGAGAAGGTGAGCTGGGTGGGAAGAAGGACACAGAGCATGCGAAATAGGGGCTGGAGGTGATGAACACGGTGTACCCCAGGCATTCAGTGCTTGGAGTTGAGAGGACCTGGGAGGATACAGAGACTTCTTAGTATGAGGTCCATCATCTCGAGACTAATAAGAAAGATTTGCTTGGTGGGTGGCTTCTACCCATGTCATTAGATGCTGTTGCCTAAAAACCCATCACCTTTTCTGAAGATGTCACTGCCATCCCTGAGGCAGATCTTCAGAACAAGGAGGCAGGTCACCAAGTGTAAATGTGCCCTAACTCCCTTCAGTTCCCCACATCAAATCTCAGAGTACAAATGACTGTCAGAGGGACATCAACAAGATTGAAATCCTGTTGTTGACTCCATGTCTAGGTCCACTTTGTGCTTCTCAGGAAAGAGCTCATGACTCTAAAGGCTCAGGGGCTGGAGTGGAGGGTGTGAGCTCTAGGAATAGGATAGGCTATGCTGAAGGACCAGTGTATCTGTAATTCTGGCTGAGCCTGTGAGCTGCAGTGTTTGCAGCCTGGGTCTTCCTTCATGTTGCTAGGACTCTAACAAAGGGCCTTGTACATGTGGGGCCAATGCTATGCCACTGAGCCATGGCTTCTGCCCTTTGTCAATTTTCTTCATACAAATGGGCTTGCATAGCAAATGCATTAATCTTGAGTGATGATCACACTCAGCACTGCAAGTGTGAATTTGCTCTGTGGAGTCCCAGAACCACCCTGATTGGATGGTTGCATGGTCTGTTTTCACAGTGGAGGAAACTGCATCTAACAGGGCTTTAGGGATTCTCAAGGGTGGCCTAGGCCCTCATCTGTCTCTGCAGTCTTCTGAGGCACTTTCTCTGTTTGATTCTGAGCTGCAAGTTCTTTGGGTCTTCCTAGAATCATGTTAGAAAGTTTTGGGATGAGTGGTTCTGTCTCCCAAGCCTGGCTTGTCAGTATGAAAAAAAATCCAACTGAGAGATGGGTAGCCCTCACCTGGCATCCTTAGGGTAGTCTTGTCTACAGCTCCAATTCCTAGAGGGAGGGCTGTTATCTCCCTCTTGTTCCTGGTGGCACATCTGAATTGATGTTCACTGGCCTTTAAAATCATGACCTGTGGATGAGCCAGGAAGAAATTGCTTAGAGCCTGGTTATGAGGGGGTTTGGTGGAGTCAGAGGGTCTTGACCATCAGTCATTGCACTGGACAGTATGGGTACAGGGTCCTAGGGGATATGTTTTGGTATTCTGGAACCACTGTTTTCTGTCCTATAACATTAGGGAAGAAGCTGATTCTCCATCATTGGATCTTTATAAGTAGAAAACATTCCCATGGTATGTGCACATGTGTGGACACAATACACAACGAGTTGTACTTAGAAAATGCATATAAAAACCATAACTCTTTACTAGAGAAAATACTACAGATTTTCAGAGAAGGTGAGGTGGCCACCTCCCTACATCCTGGTCCTGAGCAGTTGCTCCTGTGACATCCCATGGGATAGAGCACACCCTCTGTGTGCATGTGAGTTACTCCTCCAGTCTCCTAGTCATGGCACATAGGACCACTCTTTGCTTTGCCTTTTATAACTGTCACTCCTGTGATCGAAGTTCTGCACACTTCTCTTTATATTGTTCTCAGTGTGTCTTTAGGTACTTCCTCAGATTTGATATTGTGGTGTCCAGAGCAAATACTTCAGTGATGACATTTCACAGACCTGTGAGACTTAGCTTTCCCATCTGCTGTTTAAGAGTTTCTGCTTTCCTCACATCTGTGTCAGTGGAATGTGCTGCTGCATGTTCAGACTTCTGCTAAATATATGGTTGAGAAATATATCCATTTGTCTAGGGGCTTTTCATTAAGTGGTAGAACTTAGATACCAAGATCAGAGCTCAGGAAGGGTTTGTTTTTACTGCTATCACTTAGCAGGCAGAGTCAGGAAAGACACCTAGGTATCTTGCCAACCTCTTGCTTTGCCTATCAACACTCTTTGTATGTGCATGTGTGTTTAATTTTTGAGAATTTCATATATGAGTACTGTATTTATATAATTTCTAGTACTCAAGGTTGACTCTAACCTTTACACTTTCCTTATGATGCCATTAACCCATTATATTTGCAAATTATTTAGGTATTTGTCCAATGCTTCCACTCATATCTGATCCATATGCCTTCAAGGAACAGATTTCTGGACAGAGTCTAATATTTGACAGAGTGTTTTATCTGCAGTTTTTCTATGGATAGTGAAAATGTCTCTCTGTTTCTTGTTCTCTCCAATTGAGTTGTCTAGTTCTTCAAACACTTAGAGAAAGTGAGGTGGAAATATCATGGTATTAGTAGAAAAGATTTACCCCACGAATAATTTGCTAGCTAGCTTAGGAACTCAATGAATAAGATGGAGACAAAGACAGAAGGATAAACATATAGGAAGCTTGCATCAGTTCACATTTTCTGCAGTGTTCTTATGTGAACACTGGCTGATGGGTTACCTTAATAACTTCCTCTTCGTGAGCCCAGTCACTCTGAAGAAATCCCACTTTGTCATAATGCTCCATGCTTATAGATTCCATTGGATTCTATCTTGGAAATATTCTATCAGGATTTGGTATTAATTATTGTATGTCAGATTTGCTTGTGTTTTTCTTCAATTGTTGTCACCTTTGGCCCGTGAGCTTCATTTGTGTCATAGAAGGCATGTGGAAACTTTCTTTCCTTCCATGGGCTCTGGGGGGGATAGTGTCTGAATTCTCCAGTCCCTGGGGTTTAATGTAATAAAATTGTTCTGAGAGCTATGGGGAGCTGTGCATTTGGATGAGGAGATAAAGAAGTACTTTGTAATGTTCCTTGGGCTATCTCACTGGCTGCAGCCACTTGGTTCAAAACTGAAAGGGCATATTAGTGCACAGTTACATTGTGATTTAAAATCCAGACATTAGCGTCTCTGTTGTCTCCCTAGAGTGGAATGGTCACCTACAGTTCCGAGCCAGTCGACCTCCAAACACTTTGTGCTGCTAAATCCCACAGTTTTTCTGTGACTGCCCCTTAGTATGAGAACCTTTGCAGAAGGCAAAGATAGAAAGGTCGGAAGGGTGAGTGTGGCTTCCAGTTTCTCTAAACCACTTTCTTCCCTTTGACATGTCCTCAAGGCACTTGGAGTCCAGAGCTTCCAGAAAAGATCATGGCTGAGCCCAGTGACAACTCTCTGAGGATTGTTCTGGTAGGGAAAACAGGAAGTGGGAAAAGTGCCACAGCAAACACTATCCTGGGGCAGAAGACATTTGCTTCTAGAATTGCACCCCATGCTGTCACTAAGAACTGTCAGAGAGCATCCCGCAAGTGGAAGGAGAGAGAGCTCCTGGTTGTGGACACCCCAGGGCTCTTTGACACCAGAGTGAAGCTGGAAACCACCTGCATTGAAGTCAGCCGGTGTGTCCTCTACTCCTGCCCTGGGCCTCACGCCATCATCCTGGTACTGCAGCTGGGTCGCTACACAGAGGAAGAGCAAGAAACTGTCATTAGGATCAAGGCTATCTTTGGGGAGGCGGCCATGAAGTACATGGTTGTCTTGTTCACCCGCAAAGACGAGCTGGAGGACCAGACCCTAGGTGACTTCATAGCAGACTCAGATACAAACCTAAAAAGCATCATCAAGGAGTGTGACGGCCGCTGCCTGGCCATCAACAACAAAGCAGAGAAGGCCGAGAGGGATATGCAGGTGCAGGAGCTGGAGGAGCTGGTAGAAGCTATGGTGCAGAAAAACGGTGGGGTCTACTTCTCTGACGCCATATACAAGGATGCGGAGCAAAGGCTGAAGAAAGAAGAGGAGATCCTGAGGAAACTTTACACTCATCAAAAAGAGAATGAGATTAGAATAGTAGAGGAAGAGAATGCTCTTGGAAAACTTAGTACTCAGGAAAAAGAGGGCCTAATACAAGCAATTAAGGAAAGATATGACAAAAAGATAAGACAAGAAGCAGAGGATAACATATTTAGCCAGATTGTTGAAGGAGTTAAGAAAATTCTTTTGAAAATTTGGCACGTGGTGGTGGCACGCACCTCTAATCCCAGCACTCGTGAGGCAAAGGCAAACGGATCTCTGTGAGTTTGAGGCCAGCCTAGTCTCCAGAGCGAGTTCCACGACAGGTGCTAAAGCTACAAAGAAACCTTGCCTTAAAAAGAAAGAAAGAAAGGAAAGGAAAGGAAATGTTGCATTTTCCATAAGTAGTCTGTGCATATATTTTTATTTCATTCGTTCTGAGCATTTCTCCATCTCATTCCCTACCATTCTCCCTGCTGGCCCTTTCCTACAGTCACCAACAAACTTAAGAGATAGCAGAACTGGGAATTCACTGAAGCAGAGTCAAGACTCAGTGTCAGGCTCCAAGACCAGGTCTCTCATTCCACACTCAGCCCCCTGTGCTAGCTTGTCCTGTCTTACCCATGCTGATGGATCGGAACGCCTCTGTAACCATGAGACCAAATAAACACCTCCTGTGAGATGTTTGTCACACTAAGAGAAAAGTCAAAACATAGTCCCTTACCAGTTTGTAATTGTGAATTCATTGTTAAAGGCGATCATGCAGTGTTAGGACAACACAGAAGTGTTTGTTCTGGATTTCAGAGTCAACTTCTGAACCACTATGACCGTCACCGGCAAGTTTCCTCTAGGAGTCATCTCCATGCTTTCCTTTGTAACTCTTCAGAATCACTCACCCAGAGTTGGTCTGTCCTAACTCAATAGAGCCTCTGCCCCCACAGACATGATTTACTGACACACAGAGCATAGCTTTGGGCTGGAACATAAGGATAAGGAGAGAGGAGAAAGCATCTAGGGCAGTTTCTCTCAGTGTTTCCAAAGCTGCAAAGCTCTATACCCAGGTGCAGACAACACAACCCCAAATGTTAGAAGTTAAACAATTGCTCGTGTCTCCATTTTGTGTAAAACTGAGTCCCGGTAAATAGAGAATGGTTCTTGAACCTCACACCCCCTCACTGTTTCCCAGGGCTGCTGCAGCTGTGAGAAACTACCCTAGACCTCATGCTTGAAGGTCGACGCTCGAATGAGTACTATATCCCATTTCATTACAAGGTGTTAGGTGTCCGCTGTTCTGCGAGTTCAGGTTTTTGGTCATCCAGACTGAGTGTCTCAATCTTTTTTTTTTTTTTTTGGTTTTTCGAGACAGGGTTTCTCTGTATTGTTTTGGAGGCTGTCCTGGAACTAGCTCTGTAGACCAGGCTGGCCTCGAACTCACAGAGTTCCGCCTGCCTCTGCCTCCCGAGTGCTGGGATTAAAGGCGTGCGCCACCAACGCCCGGCCGAGTGTCTCAATCTTGTTCAGAATTTTCTTTCAGTATTTGTCCAGCTTCTGTGAAGACTGATTAGGATATGAGAACACGCCCATCAGAAATGTTTAATTGATGACCAGAAGTAAAAATAGAATCACATACATCCCAAAGAAACTATCATCTCCCAAACACCCAGGCAGCAGGAATGGTTCAGAATTGGACTAGCAGATTCCTCCTAAACTCCAGTTGTGGGACCTTCTTGCCTATGCCTGACACCCATTCCCTTTTCTCCTCAGCTTGACCCTCTTTGTACAATTGACAGGATTAAGATATTCCCAATGCCAACTAAGAATCAGTTGTTTGTCATTATATTGATGTAGTCATTGTGGTCTCTGGCTCCTTCCAGCTAATTCCTGAGTCTCCCTAAGGGCCCATAATCCTGGGAAACCATCATAGAGCAGGAATAGCACAATTCCAAACACCTGCTCCACTGAAGTGGGCATTTTCTTGCATCCAGAAGCTATCCATGAACATGTGGTTAGCAGATCCCAGTAGAGTACACAAAAACTTATAAAGTAAATATTAATTACTCACTCTTTAAGCAGATAGGTAACTGTTTCTCAGAATAAATGGCTCTGTGATAAGCAATTTACTTAGGAGGAATGAGTTTTACCTTAATATGGTAATAATATGTCTTTCTGTCTCTGTGTATGTGTGTGTATTACATATATATGTTTTATGTATATAATATATGTAAAGTCAATTAGGTTCTGAGGATAAGTTCCTGCATGCCCTTTCCACATCTGTTGAAATTTGCAGTAACCCCGTGGCTTCTGGGAAGCCCAACCAATTCCCATAGATGCCATTTGTTTGCATTCTTAGTGGGTCAGCCACTGTCCTGATGGAATGCACAGATGAGCTCCCCAGACCTGGGTCTTCCTCCCACAGGCTCACAGAGAAGCTTGCCCCAGAAGAACCTCTCAGAGAGGTCCTGGCCATTTCTTAAGGCCCCTGGAAATGCTTCTGCCTCAGAAGCCTCTTCTCCATCCTTCTCCATTTATATGACACAGTTATATATAGATCTTACAGAATGGTTCACTTGAATTTTTTGCATTACTAATGAGGTCCTCCTACATGGCACTTGTCATCAATTGTTTGTTTACTATTGTGGTGCTATGGATGGACCCCAGGCCTCCAGCATCACTGGCAACTTCAGAATCACAGAGCTACATCCCTAGCAGTTTAGTTGTTTAATTTTTGGCACATGGTCTCACTAAGTTGCTCAGGCTGGCCTGGAAAGGCACAATCCTTCTTCTTACCCCAGCCTCCTGAGTGTTTGGGTTATAGGCATACATCGCCATACCCGGTGGAAAGTTTCATTTTTGAACAACTGGAGTCTTTTATATTTAATTATTTGTTTTTATTATTTTTTAAAAGTGTGTGTGTAGGAGTATGTCTTCATGTGGTTGTGTGAAGTTGAGTGAGAGGTCAGAGGCTTTGCATGTCCTGGGGTTGGAGTTCCAAACAGTTGTGGGGTTGCCTGACATGTGTGCTGGGAACTTAACTTGGTTCCTCTGGAAGAACAACAAGTGCTCCTAACCACAGAACCATCTCTCTAGCCCCATATGCTCTTATATTCAAAGTGTTTGGAAACCTATAAAACTCTACACCCAGGTCCAGACAATGCAACCCCAAATGTTGTAAGTTTAACAATTGCATGTGTTTCCATTTTGTGTAAAACTGAGTCCCGGTAAATTGAGAATGGGTCCTTGCACCCCCACACCCCCTCACTGTTTCCCAGGGCTGGTACAACTTCTGTGTGTTGATATCTGCAATGGCTTTTTATGGACACCTATAATTTCAAATTTAAAAATAATTTTCAATGTGATTTTCAAGGTTTTGTGGTTTCAGAATATACACTCAGCCTAGAAAAGATGAGCAGTAGTTTACACTTTGAGAACTGTGCCACCCAACTTCCCAAGTGCAGGACAAGAGTGGAAGAACATTCCACAGCTATAAAGTTCTTCTGGGGAGGAAAAGATGCTCCTTTCTGAGTGAGACTCTGTGAATTTGGCAGGAAAACTCTCTCTCTCTCCATATACATATATAATTTTTAAATTAAAAATTAAATTAGAAACAAGGTTGCTTCACATGACAATTCCAGGTGCCTCTCCCTTTCCCTCCCCTCCTCCCGCACTCTCTCACCAACCCCCCCCTAGTATCCCCTCATTTCCCCAGGGAGGGTGGGGCCCTCCATGGGGCTGTCCATAGTCTATAATTTCATCCAGGGCAGGACCTAGACCTTCCCCTGGGAGTCCAGGGTGAGAGTGCATCTCTCATTGTGGGGTGGGTGCCCAAAGTCTATGTGTATACCTGGGATAAATACTGATCTACTACCCAAGGCTCAACAGATTACCTAGGCCTCCTCACTGACACCCACATTCAGGGGGTCTTGATCAGTTCCATGCTGGATTCCCAGGCATCAGTCTGGGATTCAAGAGCTAACCCTTGTCAGGTCAGCTGAGGAAACCTCTCTTATTTCACCCAGGAGAGTCTGAGGCATCTGAAGGAGGCTCTGTAGAGAAGCAAACATCTCAATGGAATCCCTCTGGTGAGGCCTCACCACATCCCATCTAAGCCCATGACTCATCCCAAGCATTGAATGGGTACTCTGTCCAAGGGATCCCATTTAAGGGGACAGCTGTCAGCCCTGTTCTAACGGCCCTGTGGGGTGACCATGCTGTTATATGATAGAGGAGGAGGTGGAGAGACAGGAAATGGCCTGGGTGGAGATATCAGGTGTGGTGTTGCTACACCCACAGGCAAAACAACAACAGACAATCTTGTTTTCATAATTTGGGGTCTTTCTGAGAAACGGATGTCACAGACTCCCGGAGACATGTAGAGATCAAGATGAACAAACCTACATTTTACATAATGAGGTGAGAGCAGTGTTCTGTGAGTGGAACCAACATGAATCAAGAAAGATGTGAGGTTACACACGACAGGAAGTAGAGTGCTGTGCTGACCTCCTGTGTGGACGTGGGGCAAACATGACTGGTTCTCCACTGCTTTCTTCCTGTTTACTCTCTCCCGTGAGACTTGGCTTCCTCCATGATAGTGGAGACTGGGTAGAAGCCAGAGGCTGTGCAAGAACAGAGTACAGTGTGTGCTGAGGCAAGACAGAGGCTTGAGGGGACAGGAGGAAGAACTGATCGTGTGTTTCACAATGTGACCTGCCCCTGGGATATTAATACTTTGTGCCAAGGGCCAGGGAGGGGTGCTGATCCCAGCCTTAATCATTCATCAGTGTCTCCAATGTTGGGGAAGTCCTGTGTATATGTCAATAAAGCACTGTTGGCCAATAGGGAAGCAAGATAGGTGGGACTAGGAGTCGAGGAGGACTCTGGGGAGGAGAAACACAGAGAGTCAAGATGTAACCGCTATAGGGATAAGAAGCCTGGAAACTTCTCTGGTAAGAGAAACACTTAGATTAACAGTCATGGAGTAAATACTTAAGTCAGAGCTAGCCAGTAAGAAACAAGCAAGGCCAAAGCTTCATAATTAATGCAGCGTCTTGTGTGTTATTTGGGGACTACAACGCGGCAGAGCCCAGGTGACTGGCGGGGGATAAACCTAAAACGCCAGACAAGGAAAAGGCTATCTCTCTACAGCAAGGCTGTGAGGAACCTTGACAGTCAAAGTTCTAAACTGCTGCTCCCCAATAGACTCTTTACCCTGGCTTCACAGAACCTTCCCCCTCAGTATCTCTGGTCTCCAGGAGGGATTGCTAGTCCTGAGAAGTAGCATTGTGGAGTCTGAACCGTGTACAACCACTACCCTGGTCAGAGATGATGGGCCAGTGAGCTGGGCCGTGTCATGGATGAGTTTCTTGCTTGCTTGAGTATGCCTAAGAAAGTTTGGAGTTTTAGGTTTCAGGGGAGGAGGGGACTTAACATGATCTGCTATAATCCTCCCTTCAGCAAGATAGGCTCAAAGATTTAATAATACCTTGCTAAAGAGCATAAAACGCAGGCAAGTATGAGGCCCACAGCAACACTCCTGGTCCCAGGTCATTGGTTCTGCTCTTCTAGGGACCGAAGACAGGACCATTATTGAGGTGCTTCCAGAAAGGCCAGTGCTGATGGGTTCCCCATGGAAAACTGATGTCACTGGGCCACCAGAGGAGTCTGAATGAGCCATGATGGCTTA